GTGTGCCTTGGAGAGGGTTTTATTTTCTGACGCTGCGTGAGTTCCCTGACACACCGGGGACACATATTTATGTATAAAATACATAAAAAAGTGCATTTCGCATGATAGGTCCCCTTTAAAATTGGCGCTTTGGAAATGCAGCTTTCAGGAATGTTGACCACAACTCTGTTTTTCGCACAGCTTCAAAGTCAAAGTCAACTTTATTGTCAATCTTTCAGTTTGTGTGTTTCCCTATCAAGGGAGTTTGTGGCTCAGTGGTTAATGCGCTGATCTTTGGATCACGGGGTACTGGTTCGAATCCTGCCGAAGTCAACATTCCGCTGTGTCCTTGGACAAGACACTTCACCCCAAATTGTGGGGATTGCCCACAGTATTAAATGTACGTAAGTCGATTTGGATAAAAGTGTCTAACAAGTGATGTAATTTAATGTGTGTACAGACAGAGATATCAAAATACCGTTTCCCACAATCCCAAATACAAATTTGTATATCCTATACACACACAATCAACAAACACATGTATATGCACACATTAAGACATAAATAAAAGCACAACCTTCTGTATTACTCTTGATATTTTGTGTTGATGCTGCAAGCCATTTATAAGGGGTTACTGCTGGTGCAATGGTTTTTTCTATAAAATTAGGAACATATTTAGATTCAAGAATATTGTTATGTTGTTATAAATAACACTTTCTTTAAGACGCAAAAATCCTGCCTCAGAGTCATGACACAGGTCACTGTTTTAATTTTTACCGTCTACAAGTTACATCTATTAACAAAGCTATGCCGATAATACTCAATTTGATATCTCAATTTAACCTGATGACCATGGCTCTTTAAACGCAACTCAACAGTATCCTCCATCAAAATCTCATCTCATCTTAATCATCCTTATGAAAGACTCAAGAACCTCTGAATTCAGCCCCTCTTTAGTTTTTGTATGATTCCCCTGACAGCAATTTATTTGTTTCCTCTGTTATGCGAATAATACACATTTATGTAATTATAAATACATTATAATTAATTTAACTAATAATATACCTGATTAAATGATTGTGCCAACCCTTTTTGGTGTACTAACTACATTTTACTGTTTATTTTGGATCCTAATTAGTGTATTGTTTCCCTTGAATCATATAACACAGACTACATTAAGCCTCTAGACTCAACAAAATATGAAAATGAAAAGGTCTGATGCTTTATAAACTTGCCATACTTCCAGGCCTATGGAAAATAGTACGACATGGAAACAGTTTAGAGAATAACATTTAAAACGTTATCTGGTTTCACAGGTCATCACACCAGGAAATATTGCATGAAAAGGGCAAGGATTTTAGATCCATTACACTGCCAACTTGATACACGTTATATAAACCTTCAGTGTCAGGGCCTCAGAGAGAAAACTTGGCAGCATTAAGTGGCTCAGCTGTAAACCTATTCAACAACACACCTTTGAGGCTTTGCCAAGAAACTGAGAGTTTCCCTCAAGCATCTCTCTCTGTCAATTCTCAAAGCCCTGCAGCGGTGGCATTGTGGCCAGGAACAAAGGCTGTTTTCTCCTCTACGCCCCTTTGGATGCACAGCATGCATCACGCTACAACAGTCCTCTAAGCACTTAAATAAGTTGCCTCTCGTTGGTTCTGGTGATCTGCTCCTCCTCCTCTGGCTGTTGCCTTTCATGATTATTTACCTGAGGGACTCCTTTGCCTTTCACTTGAGCCTCGGAATAACAAGTGACCATGAATAGCAAATATCCAAGCTCCTGAGAATAAACAACGGGTCAAATGGAGTTTAATCTAACACCAAGCATCTGTCTAACATTGTGAATATCATTCTGGTTATGCCTACCCGGAGATAACTTACCCAAGGTTGAAAAAGGATTGGCCCAAAATCAGACTTTCAACATGATTGTCATAGGTCCCATAAAAAAGCACATACAGTACTCCCTGAACAAGAGAATATAGAGAGGAATATTGTGATAAGAAAGAAATGTTCATGTCAATTGTGTGGGTATTTTGAAACAGAAGGGGAAGGAAACAGATGATGTCTTTGTAGATCAATCTTAATTTTCAGGACCACACCCCTTTGTTAATACGGGTACAAACACATGGGCATGATGGTGTTTTCAAAACATTTGTAGAGAGATGCATATCCATATTTAAAACTAGAATACAAGCTTTTCAACACAGCACATACGTAAAACCTGGACCTCAGCCTCGAGGAGTATTGTAATATTACAAATGAACGTGGATTGACTGGAGTGTCGCAATCAGGGCCGTCCCTGGCCAACATGGGACCCCACGCAAAGTTATATGGCGAGGCCCACTGTTTCGGGGGGGGAGCCTCGCAGCGGCGAAACCGTGCCGCGCCACACTAATTGCGCCGCATTTTCGGCTCAGTTGAGGCACCCTCCCGGTCCCTCCCGGTCCCTCCGCAAGGTGAGGCCCCACGCAGTCTGCATGATCGGCCTGTAGGGAGGGACGGCCCTGGTCGCAATCAGGTACTTCTCAGAACAAGGAATAATTCAGGGGCTCCAAATCAACAAGAAATATGAAAATCGGTGGGGTAGTTCATTCTTGACATTTGAAGAGTATCTGATTGAACATAATTTGCAAATGCTGATTTCACACGAGAAAAACAGTCTAGATGCTGTATATAATCAAACAGTAAACCAACTCTTGCCCTCTCCTGTATTCACACATTTACTTTCAGAAACATCTACACAAACTCCATCATAATGTCTTCTGGTCCATGACATTGAGCTGAAAAAAAGGGACAGATCAAGCCGATGTGTGAAATCAATCATGTTAATTTTTGATTTCACACATTTGGATAATCCTTTTTATGGGACTTTGAT